CATAATAATTAATGAAGACTACGATACCCATTATTGTAATACTGGGCACATGGAAAAATAGTTGACAGTGAAAAAGTATGAACCACAAGGAACAGAATGAAAATATTTTAGTCACAAAAAAACTTGTGCTTTAGCACTTTTATTTTCAAAGGCAAGAATTACAAGAACAGTGTAATGAAACTTTGCAAAACATTGATACAAGTATATCACTCTTCTCCACTAAAGCCACAGAATTACATGATGACAGGATCATAAATTCAGAGATAGAAGAAGCTAACAGCTCCAACACCTTTTCCCTTTCAGAGATGAGGAAACTGATGAGAAAAGATAAGTGACTTAACCAGAGGCATAAAACTAGTAAAAAAGTGCAAGGCAGAATTTGATCTCAGGTCTTCCTGTCTCCACATCCAATGTCCTATCTACTAGATCATCTAGCTTTCAACATCTCACTGTGAAATCACTAAATGAGATAATATTTGTAAAGTGCTTAGCACCACAGCCAGCACATATTATGTGCTTCATAAACGCTTGTTTGTTCTCCCTTCCCATTATAACATTAGGTTCCCAAATGCTATGCCAAAAGGGCACAACTTCTGGGAGGTTATACCAAGAAAGAAAGACTTTTAAGAGCAGAGCTGGCTATGGACTATGTCTAAGGACAAGGCTAGCTAATTTTGGAGAGATTTGTCTACAGAAGCTATAGCTACAAATGTAATTAAGCTTGTCGGCCACAAGAACTCAGAAAAGTCTCTACTGATGAGTTATAATCTGTATTGTTGAAGAGTGTCCCCACAAAATTAAAATCATGGATCTTTGAAATATTTTGCTTAATTATAATCAATAATGTAATAGATATAATTATACAATAGATAATATAATAGATCCTATAAAATTACATACCTAAAAGGGAACACATTTTATGTGTACCAGTGGAGTTTACCTAAATTAATCTTTCACTGAAAACAGTGAATCTTTTGAAATCAATCATATAACATTTTTCCAAAGTCAGATTTTTATTTATTGAGTTTACTTGAAAGAGTACAAACTACACTACAAATTCCAACCTAGGAACAGCTATTCTCATTCAATTCAACAATAAGGATTTAGTAAGTGCTCATAATGTGCAAAGTGTTGAGAATAAAAAGAAAAAATGAAGATCAGCTACTTAAACTGAAGGAATTTCCATTCTGCTTATAAATGTTTTTATAATTACATGTCACAAGTGAAAACACACCCACTTAGTTGTAGCAGCTCTGGCTCTCTTACAGATGAACCCTTGTCTTCCCCCAACCTCCTCAAAATTACATTCCACAAATTTCTTACCTTTCAACCACATACCATACAAATAATTCTAAATTAATTTTAGATATTATCTATACAATTACATATGCAAATGGATACAATAAGAATATAAACAGAAAAGGGGGAAGTGAAAAAAAAAAACTCTAGGACCACAGTATAAAAAATGCTTGGTAGAATCAGAATATGAATGTGAATGACACTTTTCTTTCTAAAATTAAGAGATTTTGTTGACATACTGCTCTTATTTATATGCTACCCCTCATATACATTTGTATATTTCTTTAAAATCAAGTTTGTCAATCACAGATTACACAGTTTCATACCACGCAAAAATGAGTACATTACCTTAGAAAAATTAAGGTAATAAAAGGCTTTTTAAATGTTATAAATATTAATGTCCTAAATTTAGGTCATATTTTTTCTTTTCTATGAGGATTTAGGTTTATACTATAATAAATGAGATGCTTCTTTACCATCAGTTTTCAAAAGAAGGAGAAGCAAGAGAGCATACAAAAGTGCAACACATCATAATGAGCTGGTATGTGGCTGTAGAGTAGATCTGAAATTAGTTTGTTCAACTGATTTCATAATTGGATGCCATGTACTACTCCTAACAGAGCACCAAAGGTGAAAAGATTGAAATATAAACCTCTAATTAAGCAACGGTTTGACAGATCCAATGTCCTATATTTGCTAGACATTATGGCTCAATAGGCATTTTCAACTAAAAATTAATACTGCATATAGCATTCATGTTAGGAATAAGTAAAATCTGATGTTTAGAAAAATGAAATCTTGAAGTCCGCAGAAAAGTCCTATCCCTCCATCACAATTCTGCACATACTTCTAACTATTGAAAGAATAGCAATTTGTTATGTTTAAAAAACAAAAAAAGGTTTCTCTGAATTCTCCATCCAACATCAGGATTACTGTCATTTGATCATAACACAAGTGCAACTAACACAGCTGCCATGTCAGCTTCTCTTCAGGGGCTAGTTCTTAATCATAAATCAACTGAATGACTAATTCAACATTGTTAAAACTGTTGAGTAGATGCTTGGAGCCATTCCAGTTTTTACATCTTACAAAAAGGTCAACACACCTACTCAAATACACAATAGTCTTATCTTTCAAAGGGTTTTCTTCTTTTCTAGGATTGAAAAATAACATGTTACCACTTAAATTTAAGTATGTTTTAACTATTAATTAAAATGTTCATTAATTCTCAAATGGTGATCCACGAAAACCAAAATAGTTTTAGCTTTTTTCATGTGACTACAATCAGAAAACCTTTCCCTCTTTTTTTTTTGCCTGCTTTAAATACTTTTCTAGTTGTAAAAGACCTATGAAAACATTTACTGCCGACTGTTTCCTGCACTAACCTTAATCTGTTACAGTAACATCACATATTAAACTTTAAAAACAAAACTTTTTTGCTAGTAGAGCAACTAGTGCAAATGGGACTGAGATGTAGAACATGAACCAAAAACTCTTGACACAAATTAAAAGGCATCTAGTAGTAAAATATATTCTAATCATTTACATCTGTTTGCACTGCTATAAAAGATGGAAACCCACTGTTAGTATCCTTCATGATAAAAATTGATTCTGCACTTTAATAAAAAAAGCTATGTTGCATAAACAGAGGATTTAAAGCTGTGGCAGAGTGTCTGAATGAAAGGAAAATGGCAATCTTTTTGGCTCCACTAGATGCCATTCCCTATCACACAATGTTTCCCACTCATAAATACATGACAAATACTTCCTCAATCATTTTTTACGAGCAGGGATGCACAGGGGGTAGTCAATGGCTAGCTTGAGGGAAAATAGGAACAGCAGGCGGCAGAAACTGTACAGAAAATGGTTATGTGGTAAATTCTCTTCTGGAACATCACTCAGTTACCCGTCTTTGATCTTTCAGCTACAATTACAATAAAGTCCACAAGACCTGATTTTTTTTTAAACTAGTTCATTAGCTATACACAAAATCAATTAATCTTTGTATTATGGGAGTGCCCAATTCATATCTCCAAATTCTGAAAAATTAAAAATTTGTAATTTATACAAAAGGTTTAGTTTCAATTGGCTATAACCATGTCATCATCACAACTGGCATCACAAAAAACACGGGGTGTCTGGCGACAGCTAAATCACAGACTGGCGTCTCCCAAGCAGTCTGTCTACCATTAGGGTCTGGGAAATGGTATTTACTGTACAATTAGAGCCAGTGAGTTCTACCTGTAATCATCCAAATACAGGTGTGAGGAGCCTTTTTGGGCAAGGAAACTGACTCATCCTTTTTCCTGTAAACTTTGATGTCTGTATTGTTACACTGAGCCTCAGGACAACTCAACATTTACATTGAAAACTAGGGTGCTAAGATTTATTGCATTCAAGTCAAATAATAAATTAAAATTCTTTCCTAAAAGTAACAATTTGACATATTAATCATCATATTTACAAGGCTACAAAACAAGACAGAACTGATTTTTTTTCTTGCAATCACATTATCTCATGGGAAAAAAAACAGACTACTGATCAGTTTCAACAAACTTTCTATTTTAAGTTTGCATTTCCTAAACTCTTACCAATAGAGAAGTTCATTCTGACCCAGAAAATACAAAATGTCTAAGAGTAATATCAACAGGGCAGTTTTAGTTGCAGTAATTTCACAGATTTTATTCTAATGATTTATTGGAGTTAACCATCTGACATTAATTATTGTTTTGGCTTCCAGTCTATGAATGTTTATTTTTCAGTTTAAAGCCTTCTCACTCTTTGATATCATATGGAAATGAGAATTTTTAATGGAAAATTGAAACCATGTGCATCTAAGTACTTAATGAAGTACAGGGAGAAACAGAGGGTGTATTTTTGGAGAATTCAGATATTTTGCTTTGGATAGTTTTGATTTGTTTGGATGACTTAATAGTAGAAAATACTGTGGGTCCAATGAAGCAAGTCAATCTTTGTACGATGCAAATATGTACGTGTGCATGCATGCAGATATATGCATATATATAACTTTTTGAAGTGAATGCATGAATCAAACATTGCTAATTCTGATAAATCAAAAATGGCAGATTATAGATGTAATAGCTGAGCCAGACACATATATACGGGTTCCTTGGAGTTTTTTAAGGCCTAAGTTTTGTATTTTAGTATTTAATGTTTATGTACAATTTCATAATTCAAAAAAATTGATATTTTGACATTACAAATGTCATATCTATGCAAATTTGTACATATAGTTGTATAATTTGTACATATAAAATGTATCAAAATCCCAACTTTAAAAAACATATGTGTGTGTATTTGTGTGGGTATGTGTGGGTATGTATGTGTATAATCTGACTTTTCAAAGAGCAAACCAAGTAAGAATTTAAAATTGAATGGGAATGTATAGGATTTAATTGGGGGAAAAGTATATGAATGTTTTTATAAATCATGATATCAAGAAGAAGACATGGCTTTAAAGGACAATTTATGTTGCTATAAATTAATAGCAGGCTTCCCAACTGAAAAGCTAAACCCAACTTTTCACATGAACATTTTTATCTTGGTTAAAATGAGCAAGAAAAAATTAAAAACGGATTTAACAAAAAGAATATGTATATATCAACATATATGAAATGAATGTAAAAGAGATTTCTGCTATGTGTATCTATTAAATCAAGGGGGGAGGGGAGGCCACTCACCATTTGTTTTTCTTTCTTATGTAGTCCTTTTCTGAAAGGTTAACCAAGTAGATCATTGGTTTTGAAGTCAGAAACAAGTGTTTATTCAACACCTCAATCTAAAATACAGGCAGAGATAGAATTCTTTTAAAAAATATATAATATTTGTATACCAACTCATTTTAAAGCAAACTTTAATTTGCCATTTTTATTTCTAAAATGTTACAAATATCATTAAACATCTTTAAAGAAAATCAACCTGGAAATGGTATTCTTTGATAGAAGTAAAGTCTACATGAATGTTATAATCACTGTAAAATAGCAGTTACTCCCTCAAAACCATGAAGAAGAAAAAAAAAAAAAAAAAGGCTACTAACATGAGCCATGACATTTCTTACTTACCTCTTTGTCATTCCAATCATGATAGAAGCGTACAGGTTTCTTTTCATCTATAACCCAAGTTTTTATTTTGCACATTATGTCCTACACGAGATTAAGAAGAAGAAATCAATTAAAGATAAATATATACTTAGCTCAAATAAGGAACAAATATCTAATTTTGATGCTAAAGATATGCATTTTAAATCCTTAAGACAAAAATAATTCTGTTGTTCTACAAGGTGAACAAAATGCCAAAGAATAATTGCATTTAAAAACACACTTGTTTTTTAATAAATACACTGAAAGGATTTTATCACCCAAAAATTGGTAAGGATTTTAAAATCAATACATTTCAACCACATTTTACAGTAAATAAAATAGAGTAATATTTCACCATCAGTGAGTGAGCCCAAATACAAGATAAACATACAATTAAGAAGGGGAGAGGATAGGTAGAAGAAATTAAATTACATTTTTTTCCCTTAAAAAACTGTAGAAGACATTGAGCCTATTATGGACGATCCATCCTTTAAAAAATTAATTTAACTGACCCAAACCCCCTTTTATTCTGAATTAATTTTTTGCCAGCACCTTCTCCTCCTCCCTACCCCCCTCCCCAAAAAAAGTGAAACCTGCCAAAGCCTCCATTACACAATGGCAAGAGCCTTGCACTGGTGACCTCCAACCAGCTGCATTCACTTTCAGAACATCTCTCTCTGCTGGAAATCTAAAGGCCTTTTAGTTAGCAAGCTAGTGTGCATTCAGAAGGAGTAACTGCAGGAAGAGCCCAATGTGCTTTGTTTCTCTGGCCTTTCTTCACAGAAAGATTAATCATCTGTGAAATGGAAACGGCAAACAGCAAGTGACACAAACTGAACCCTTCAAGCCTTTCCTCATCAGTTTTGTGGTTCTGAATCTAAAAGCTGCGTGTGGCAAGGTTCTCCTTACAGGCAGGTGTTAATAAAAGGCTCTTGGGTCTGAAAGGTCAAACTTGGCTCTTCCAGAAGTAGTGCGTTTGAGAGTCATCTGTTTTTTGTTAAAGATAATTTACGGGTAATGCTTTAAATAATGTACTCATAGAACTTATTGTAATATACAATTAATTATTTTAAAATAATCAATTTCTTAGATTTTCATCAATGTATTTACTTGGCCAAATGTCATTTATTTCTATAAACATCGACTTGTATAAATTACCTCAATATTTAGTATACCTTCCTTCCAAATCTTGCTGTTTCAGAGGGGGAAAAAATAAGGAAAAAGCCCTACATCCTTACATTCTGATTTGAAACCCTCCAGGAATAGGACTCCCCACAGATTTTAACAAGGAAGGGGCAAGCTGAAAACTTTTAATGAAATCTAACATGTTCTGCCTAAGAATAATCACTTTTACTCTTCTATAACTGAATTTCACTCATAAATGTTTAAAAGTGGCTAATGTAACACCATTTCCTACAAGGAGAAGATCAAAGTGCTATATTACAAATGCATTATGATTAAAAAAGCACTGTGCAGCCTTGCTATTAACTGTTCTTTAAACCCTAAAAGGCTTCCCATAGATCTCACTTGGCACTGCATATACAACCTTTGACAAGTAATGTAGACCATTTTTATTCATTGCCTAAAATTGTAGGCAATTATGTGCGTCACACTGGCCACCTGCAAATTCTGAATGCCTGCTCCAGTTGTCAGTGCAAAAAACTAATGTCGGAGGGGATTAATCTAGGGGGAGAGAGTCCTCTTTAATGGCTCCAGCAGGTGAAATGGCCCAGCTGGTTACTATGTTGAGTGGCCAGAACAGTTTATGTAGAGACATGCAACAAGATTATACAAAAAAGGAGAGAAAAATTAGTACCATCTTATATTTGGCCCCATTGGTCTTACAATTAAAAGTGAAAAAAAATTTTAATGAAGCCAAAAATAAATAAGGAAAAGGAACCAACTTCATTCATGTACAGTGTGAATTAAAGAGGGCTGTTTGCAAGTGTGGCATTCTTATCTTAAACCAGTAGGTCCTCACCAAATTCTGATAACTTGTGAAGGAATTTTGACGGCATCAATTTTTTTATTTTTAAAAAGAATTTTGGCATTACTTAAAAACTTTGTCACAAAAGTTTTTTGACATTCAAGTCTTCCTCTATTACAACATATTATATCACAAATTAGAGACAATGGAATACTAGCTAAAGGCAAAAAAGAGAACTACATATAATTAGAATTCTTTCAATAAAATATTTTCCATAAAACCAAATTCAAGACTTTTTGGGCCAATTACCAAATTATAGCTAATTTTCTGAACTTGCCTCAGAGTTGATACTATGTGTATTTTTTAAAATATGAAACAGCTTATTTTTCAGCTAAAAGCAATCCAATCCTGCTCTTAATAGTCACGAAGATCCAAGTACTTTTACTGAAGGTCCTTAGCTAGTTTTGGTATAAAAAGCCAACTTATCCAAATTTCCTTCAGAAGATAAGCATCTGTTACTCTGGACAAATACATGTATCTCAACATAATTAGTTATCTTATTGCTTGAAACTGAAACTTAAAATATTAGACAAAATTGTGTGCATCAAGGTAACTCAGAGCTCTGTGAGGGAAGTATAAGCTTTGGCAAGTTATAAAAAGGTGAAAAGGCTGAGTATGGTGCGAGGGAAAGATCAAATCTGTGGTCCAAAGGGAAACCAACTGAGTTAGATATGGAGAGGCTTGCCTTGAGTGACCTGGCCACTGGATAATGAATTCTTGGACAATGGCAACCAATAAAAGAAACAAAAATATAAGACTGCTACAATATTTTTCTTTCCATAGACACAAAAATGGAAAGGAAAACCAAAAATTTAGAAGGTAACTTTTTCATCCTGAGAAATGTTATGAATGATACAGAAATCTAATAATTCAATAAACATTTAATTAATCACCTAGTGTGTAAATCCTGTAATATGAAGATGAGTCAATGTTCCCTGCTTTTGTGGAACTCGCAGTCTCGATAAAACAGAAAACTACAATACACATTAATATATTTAGATAAGTGCATTAAAGAGGAACAAAAGAAAGTGTGTAATATATGAAGGGGAAGTTTGTTACAATGGGAAGGAAATGTTTCATGGAGAAAGGTTGCATTTGAATTAAGAACAGGCGAAAAAGCATAGAGTATTTGGAGAGAATAATACAGTTTACAACAGAGAGTAATATGAGATACAGCCAGAAAGGTAGAACATTAGCCATAAACTTTAACTGAAATTTAATCTGAAAAAAAAAATTTCAATCAGAGACATGATCTTATATACAGATAATGAAGATTAGTATGGGAGTCAAGAAAGTGGAGCTAGGAAGATGTGTTTAAGGAGAAGAGGGTAACAGTCCTGGGCAGTGTTAAGAAGGGCTTATACTAATATAGTGACAAGTGAGGAGTGAATAAATACAAGAGATATTGCTAGTATTTCTTTTACTAAAAATTCTTGATTAACTGAGAAATATTTGGATCACGATTCCAAAACATAATTATCAAATAGTTAATACAGTAACAAACAATTTAATTTAAAAAAATTCAGACAGACCTGCAGTGCCTTGGGAACAGCATCAATTATTATTGCATAGATCTACAGTCTAAGAAGGGGTAGAACTGTAAAACTGTACCTGGAAGTTTGGGAACAAGAAAATTTAAACCCATTTCTATCCATTTAAGATAGAAACTAAACCTAAAAAGTCATGAAAAGAATTAAGTGTCTTGACACCTAGTCCTAGTACTCTTTCCACATCAATAAATTGCCTCCCAATTACAGGTAGCTAGATGGCACAGTATATAGAATGCTAGAGCTGGAGGCAGGAAGACTTGAGTTCAAACACAACTCAGACACTTTCCAGGGGTGTGACCATGGGCAAATCACTTAACCTTTGTCTGCCTCAATTTTCTCTACAGTAAAATGAGGACAATAATAATAATAACAGCTACCTTTCAAAACTGTTGTGAGCATAAAATGAGGTAATATTTGCAAAGTACTTAGCATAGTGCCTAGCATACCTAAAGTGCGAAGTAAATGTTTATTCTCCAACTGGGTTGAATTTGTACCAAGCTTATAAAACATCAAAGCTGCCCTTTTTTCCTTAACTAAATTTATATGTGTGTATTTGTCTTTTGTTTCTTTCTCATACAAACAGAGTATAGAGGGAAAACTGATCTGGATTCTAGATAAATGAAACTGACTAATTAACCAGTGGCTAATCTCAACATATCCCGAAATCTCATCAGGTCTCTTTGCTGTCATTTAAGGCTACCTTCATTTTCACCATTCTGGATGAACTCTCAAATGTTTTCATATTCTCTCTACATGCTGGAAATTGTCTTCTGTACCCATGACCAGTCACATTTCTACCCTTACCTTTCTATAAGAACTATCCCTCCTACTGTCTGAAGAGATCAACTTTTAACAACAAAAGAGACATAATTCAAATACATCTCAATATCTGTGATAGTTTGGATATACCTCAACAGCTGTTCCAGTTATGTTTCCCTTAAACACACCCTATATTCAAATATGTAACTACAAATCTTTACAACTATTGTTTAGTCTTTCAGCCACTCTGCCTGATACTTGCTGCTAGTTTTTGTATTCTTCACCCATATTCCCAATGCCTGAGTATACATTCTCATGTGTATTTTCTGTGCTCCCAATCTTTCTCTGGCCATTCAATGAATATTTTATTAATATAATAATGTTACACTTATTAATAGTGTCACTAAAGGGATACAATGGAAAGCACCTGATCTGGGCTTTCTGTTTCTACTACCCATATATCCTTGAGAAAGTCATTATCTCTCTATGGGTTACAGTTTCCTTATCTGTAAAATGAGGAGGTTAGACTACTAGATGATTTTTAAAGGTCTCTTCCAGCTTTAAATCCTTTGATCCTTTGATCTAAGGACAACTAAAGAAAAAAGAAAAAGAACAGAAAAAGGACAAGCTTAATCACCTTCAGGTACTAATGAGGGATTACTACTTATCTATTCATGATCTCTTGCTCTACGGTTTTCTGATAACAAAACACCCAGGTGTAAGATTGCCCAATAAAAGCATTTAGGCTGAAGATTTATCACTGGGCA